CTACTAGAGAAATTGAATCACATCCAGTTAGTGTGGTCAATTGGAAAGAGAGGTGGATTTGCATCCAGAGGACTTGGACCACAATCCTGAATCTCTCATGTGTTACCTACACGACCTTGGGCAAATCTCTTGGCCTGTCACTTCAGCTATAAAATAAAGGCATTGCATTAGGTGCACCGTCAGGTACCTCTCAACCTTTAGTCTATGATTTCATGACATTCTTGGTACAAAGGAAAGCACAAAGAAGAAGGAAGATTCACTTAAGTGGAAGATTGGCTCACGGATTCTCCTTGAAGGAGGAGATAAAGTATGTGGCAGAGTCTTTGTAATTGGATGTGACTGACTGGTTCATGACTCCTCACACCAATGGATGGCCCAATGCCTTCACCCCTTCCCCTAGAGCTCAGAGAATTTGACTAGGGAGCCCTGGGGCAGTAGGACAGAGTTCCAAGGAAGAGGTAGCTCAAAGGCAGAGGAGATGAGACCTAGGGTTAGAGGAGGCTCTGTTCACAGAGAATAAGTTGACCACCTTCTCCAAAATTTCCAGGAGACATGTCTTCTCCTAACCTTGATTCTATTTCCCACTATGAATGGGAATGAATGAATAAATGAGCGAGTGAATCAATGAATGAATATCAAAGCATTTGTTAAGCACGTATCATATACTAGGCTATCATTTCTGCACTTACAGAATTCAGAAATGAAAGATCCCTCGTGTTCAAGTAGTTTATGTACTAAAGCAGGGAGGGGAACAATCCATATAGGAAAGTGGTAAACAGAGAAAGGGGTTTTCTTTTGGCAAGTGACAAGAGATTCTAAGCCATAGGGCAATTGGTCATGACTTTCTTTCCAAAAGCAATCTTACTTTGATTACTGTTCTGACAATAAGAGACAGGAAGCAGCAGTGTGGGATGTGTGGAAGATACCCATGTGGTAGCAAGGCAGATAGCATGATGCCCTGGTAGGACCAGCTTTCCTGGTGAATAAATGGATAGGATAGGAATCATGGTCTGAGGCTAGCTAGATGGAGTGGGTTAGGTGAGTTTGTACTCACTTAAGTCAACAAGAATGTAGTAAGTATCCACTGTGCTAAGCCCAAGGATACAAAGAAAGGCAAAAAAAAAATACTCTCTATTCTGAAGGATCTGATAGTGTAAGGTAAAGAAAACATGAAAACACTATGTATAAACAGGATATATACATGGGAGCTCCGCTGTCATGGGCAGAATTTCAGTGCTAAGTTGATCAAACTGCCCAGGGAGGAAGGCATGGTTTCTGGAGGTCCAGGCTACAGTGGGGCAGTTCCACATGAGGAGCAGGGGGCCATCAGTAGCACAGATATCAAGAGAGGTTTCTGGCATCTGAAAACCAAAAAATGGCAAAGAGTGAACTCCAGTAACAAAGTTTCAGAAATCTTATAAAGCCAGTCAAGACTTTTGAGGATAAGGGCAGAAGCATCAGGAGTCATTTCTAGGTGTCACCTCATACCAAATAAGCCCACCATCACCACCTATTCTACATGAGTCTGTGGAATCTGACAATTTAGGAGTTTCCTGGGAGAACTGATGAGAACACATTGACAGCAGGGTTCTTGCACAAAGGAGAAGACAGAGCAGCATGGTGGCCAAAGAATGCAGAAGTCTGAAATTCAGAGCTGCTTCCTAAGAAGGTCAGGAGGTCTGGTCATAAGACAGGGTCAGAAATGCCTGCCATGCCTGGCTCTGACCCTCTGCCTGTAGGATCTTCCTAGAGAAGAATAGGCTAACTTTGGCACTAGTGTTAAGCAAGCAAACAGAAATAATGTATTGCCAGGATTTCCTCACATGTTGAGTTTAGAGTATTTAGCTGCAGAGAGTGTGTTCCAAGGGCTTTGAAACAAGTAGATGTGTGTCTAAAAGATTTTGCTATGAAAGATGTGAGAATTTAGGGGTTTTAGCTACAGAGGGTACTGTGTTCAGAGACACACCTACTGAGACTTGGGCTGCCCCTGACTTGGTGTTCTGGGGTTGTGCTGCATCTCAGTTGGTGTTCAGAGGGGTTTGCTGCTATGGATACTGCCTGTCTATATCTGTGCATCACCTCTGAGGGCTCAGGGAGTAGAGTCTGAGAGGGGGCAGTAACCACCTCCACTCTCCTGTTATGTGTTCTGTATCATAGAATCTGCTTTTGCAGCAACTTTCCCATGATTTCATTTTATTAACTTTTATTGTTATTGTTCAGTTGTTTCAGTCATGTCCGACTCTTCGTGACCTCTGTGATTAAGGAAGAAAAAATGTGGTTCACATTCATTCCTACAATAAGACACACTCCTAGAGAGAGAAGTGAAGATAGCTTTAATTAAGATCATAATATAGGTACAGAAAAGGTAGATTTACAGCAACATACAATTAGCTATATGACTATAGTCAGGCTAAGAATACAAAGAATAGCAATAATATAAGAAAACATCCCCAATTTGGGGAAGCACCAACACCTGAAGTCCAAGCTGGGGATTCCCTGGGTACAGCCTTCAGGGTCCTGATTGGGAAAGTCCTAGGCAGAGCATCCTCTCCATGGGCGAGAATTCAAAGACGGCTTTCCCTATTAGGATTTAAATAGGGCCTCTAACAGAGGTGCCCATGATTCTAGTAGATGTTTTTACTTGGTCCAGGAACTGGCCAAGTTCCTGGAGCAAGCAAAACATATTAGAATATTAATTAACTTGATATGTCCTGATGAACTGGCCAGGTTCCCAGAGCACATCTTTTCCTGAGAACTGGCTAAATTCTCAGGTCAACATAGATAACCACACTCTGGCTTATAGCCCAATGTTTAGAGTCATACAGGGGACATGGAAGATCTTTCCTTATAAGATTTATCAATCATGACCCCATTTGAGATTTCCTAGGCAAAAGAAACTGGAGTGGTTTGCTATTTCCTTTTCCAGTTCATTTTGCAGATAAGGAAACTGAGGCAAGGATAGTTAAATGACTTGCCCAGGGTCATACAACTAGTAAGGGTCCGAGACCAGATCTGAACCTCTAAAGATGAGTCTTCCTGACTCCATGCACCACCCTCTATCTACGAAAGCCACCTAGCAAAGGGATATTTAATGAGAAGACAAAGAAAGGAAATACCCAGTCTCTCTCCAATCCCTGGGGGCACACTCTGACCACCTTGGGCCCTGAAGAGAGAGGGCTCTAACTTACAGTAACTTCCACATAGTGTTTTCCTCCGCCAAGGTAACTTCAGAATGCTAGGATGAACCCCCGATCCCTTCCTCTAGGCTGCCTTCCATCCTCTTCTATGACAACTCAGGAAGGTGTCTCAGAACTTCACTCCTCACTGGGATTGACTACCCAAAAAATCTGCCATTGACTCTGGCTCCCTGATCTCAAACTCACTCTCCCAAACATTTTGAAGCTCACAAGGTCAGAACCTGACCTTCCTCTAAAAGGAGAAAAGAACAAATGCAAAGAAGGAGGGGCAGAGCCCTGTCTACACTGGCCACATTTAGGATGGCCTGGTGTCTGGGGAGACAGGCAGCTGACAACAGGAAACCACTGCTACCACTACTAGGATCTCCCTCAGAAACAGTAAAACCACGAATTGAATGGTTCATGGTGGTTTTTCAGGGAAGAGAAGGCCTGAAGCTCCCATCCCATCAGGAGGAGCACAGCTATTCATCTTCATTGCTTGCCACCAGAGTACAAAATAATTTGATTTTACCAATGATTTTACCCAAAGATTTCTAAGCTATAAGACATAGACAGGAGGGATGCAATGACTTTAAACGCTTTCAGAAAGGTGGTTTGTATTTTATTTTTTGAGGGGACAAGATAAATTTGAATTGTGGTGAAAGGTTTTTCACTTCCCCTTTCTTTTTTAGTGGAAAAGAAAATGTTCACTTTCCTAGAAGACTACATAGTTATATAGACAGAATTATTTGGGTAAGTATATGGGTGGATACACCAGCAAGTAGAAGGCTCCCTGCTTTACTGATAGCGAACCTGGGACTGGGGCAGATTTGGAGAGTCCAAATGGACACATCCCAACTCAGTGGCAGTCTTCTGAAGACGAACATTCTGGTCTGGAGAATAGAGGTTCCCAAAGTCACACAATTAGTAAGTACCATAACCAGGATGAGCCCAGCCTATTCTTTGACAATCCACTTAGCTAAGTTCAGAAAACAATGGGCCCAAATCTGTGCCTCTCTAAACTTCTTAGGATATCTCTTGGGAAATACACCTATAGTCATAGAGTCTTGGATAGTTATAGTCAAGAAGGCTCTTAAAGACCCTATATTCCCTATTATTCTACTTTATAGATAAGGAAACTGAGGCTCACAAAAGGAGAGGTAACTGGATCAAGGAAACATAGAGAGTTAGTAGTAGAGATAAGACTAGAATCCAGGCCTTCTGATACCTCATTTGGGACCTGCCCCCTAGCTCTTAAGGCCTTGGGCAACCAGAGAGAAGGGAGTGTCTACTGCCAGCAGGATACCTCAATTCTATACCAAACACCATTATTCTCTCAGGTTATCTGGTCCAAACACTATGGGGAGCAAGAATCTTTTCCATGGTGGTCAGGACAAATAGTCATCCCTTCTCTGCTAAAAGACATCCAATCAATTATTCCTGGTGGATAATTCTATACATAGACCTGAATACTGCAAAACCTGGGTTAAAATCCTATCTCTGACAGTCAGTAGATATGTTACCTTGGGCATACCTCTTATCATTCCCAGACCTTGTTTGTAAAGTAAGGTGGTTGGACCGGATGTTGTCTTAAGTTGCTCTATCTCTAAATCTCTAAGCCTGGGACCTCCCAAAGAGACAGTTCATTTCTGTGCAGTTGATTATTAAGAAGTGGTTTTTTCCTTACTTGAACCTAAACCTTGCTTCCCTGTAACTTCCTTCCAAAGGTGCCCATCACTTTGTATTCCTTCCATATAATACTTGCTCCCTCGGCCAGAACCAACCCAAAGAAAACACATTCATTCCAAAGTACAAAAATCACACACAATTTAATGAGATGGAAGCAATGCCATATAAATCAGCCTCTTTCCCTCTCTCCTTCTTTGCCCACTCATTATCTCCTGAAATAATCCAAGTACCCACACAGAGCAGGACCATGGAACATGAAGTCACAAGAGTTTCATCCCCACTGTATTATATCTTGCACAGGGGAAAACTGAAACTCACATGGAGGGACTCGACCAAGGTCGCACAATGAGCCAGTGGTAGAGCAGAACATCAGAAGCCAGGCGTCCTGACTCCTAGTCCAGGGCACTTTGCTCTGTACCCTGCAGCTTCTAGAGCACTCAGAAGGGCAGAGAAGTAGAGATACCACAGGGAAGGAGGTGTTTGAAGAAGGCAGTATGTGTCCGGTGTGATGGGGAGGATTAAGGAATAGTTCCATTGGTTTCCCAGCAGACATGGAGGCCGGAATTATGGCTGAAGGTGATGACATGATGAAGAAAGACAAGGAGGAATTGGACCAGAAGATCACTAGATGTGCTGATTGATCCAATCCACATAGTCTGTGACAGGAGTGCAGACTCCAGGTCTGTGTTGAGCTCCACAGCCAATTCCCCAACTCACTATTCCAGCCTGGAGCCAGGAGCATTGCACCTTACAGACCAGGGCTCCCCCAGAGTCACCCTGGAAGACAAGAGAGAGTCATTTAGGATGGCCCAAGGGACAGAGAATGCACAAGAAAACAGGACTCCTAGGTTCAATCTAGAATTAGAGAAGGGAGCACAAGTAAGAGGAGGCAGCTTCCTACCTGGCAGGAGTCCTTGCCAGGTTCACCAGCACAGATCATGTTATCTAAGATGATCCTCTCAGACTCGGGAATAATAGAATTCTGATGGTATTGCTGGTCACAGGTCAGGGCGTCCATCATGGAAACCTGTACGTTCCTCAGAGTGTAGGGAGGAGGCAGAGGCACTGTAGAGGGAAGAGATAGTGGAACATTTCAGCTGGCTTAAAGAAGAGAACAGAATGCATCTGGGCACAGTGTCTTGCCCTGTAGGATGGGGGTACAGTAGTCTCAAAGGCTAGCATTTGCGCTTTGGAGGGGACTGATACCTGGACACCAGGATCCGCAGAAGAACATAGCCAAAGACAGACTGTCTTTTAGCATGGGACAGTCATTTAGAGCTGGGAGGTATTTTAGAGATCACCTTTCATTTTCTAAGGGAAGACACTGAGGCCCCTTTGGGACCTCTTTTCCCCCTCTGTAGGGGAAATGACTTGTCTACAGTCACACGGGGGTAATCACCCAAGTTTGGATTCATACCTCTGATTCCAAATCCAGTGATCTTTCCTCAAGACCATGAAGCTCCCTCTCAAAAAAACCTCGTGCCTCTGCCCATAGGTCTGAACATCAAGGCACAGGAGTATGGGAGTGAAGGACAAGACGTCTAGAATACAGCATGTCTGCTGCATGCAGGGGGAAACCCAGAATATTCAAAATATTTTTCATTAACAAAGAAACAAGGGGAGTCATCTCCACAGGCTTTTCTGTTCTCCTCACCACAGTCCTTGCAACGCCTAGTCTTGGCCTGATCCCTGGGATGCCCCAGGGCCCTACACCTCCCACCCACCCCCCAGCCTCTCAGAGCTCACCTCCAGATTCAATGTCCCCCCACCCCGTGACCCAGCATTCCATGTCAGGGGTGAAGGTCTGGGAGGCTTCAGGGAGCGAGATGGTTTGGATGGTCCCGGTGAGCTGTACAAGGGCCTGGAGTTTTAGCAGGGCGAGATCAAAGCCCTCACTGGCAGCACTGTAGTTGGGGTGGATGATGACCTTTTCCAGAGGCAGTAAGTGATCATTCTCATATAGATTCTGTTGCCTCAATTGGACCATGTAATTTGAAGTGTAGTTTTTAGTACTGGAGAAAGAGGGAGAATAATATTCCTTAGAGGGGCTATATGACCCAAGAATCCTGAGACCCAGTTGTACCCAACTGCGCCCTCTAGCTTTCAACCATGGAACTGGCCATTTGGACCTTCCTGGAACTCCCATAACACAGCGAAGTTCCCTAGTTCTCCCTCTGCTAACTCTCCTTCTCTTTCCCCTGGATTTCCCATCTTATCACAGTAACAGTACCATACATCTGTTAGGCACTTTGCAAATGAAAAAGGGATTTTTCATCCAATAGCCAACTGAGGAAGTCAAGATAGGGATTGGTATCCCCATTTTGGAAAACTGAGGCCCAGAGAGGGGGAAAGACTTGTCCAAGGTCATACAGTGAGTTAGTATGAGGCATAGTCTGAGCTACAATCCAGCTCCCCTTTCTCTGAGACCTGAGGTTCTCTCGGTCCCACCCCTGATTCATGGTCCCCTGCACCTCTGAGAGGGAGGAAGGTGACTAACCCAGTAAAGCAGTGGGCAGCAGTCAGGATCCAACTGGGGTGGATGAGAGAACCTCCACAGTAATGTATCCAGAAATCATCAAGATTTTTCCTCAGACTGATCTGCCATGGCCATTCTCCCACCTGAGCATCATTGCTGCCAACAATCTTAACCTCGTTCCCATCTGAGTGGAGAGACGAATTGAGTATGCAAGAAGTGAGTGCTGTTAACCCAGTCCTTCCCCCCCCAAGCCTCATACATTGCCAGTGATCACTGAAACTCTCTGCCATGAACTGGCTGGCAGCTGGGATGTCACCTATCTCCCATAATCAAAATAATGGCAGCTGACATTCCTTAAGCCCTTTGAGCCCTGTGGTGCCCTTTCCATGAGTTCTAGCAATACATTATCTCATTTGATCCTTACAACAACCTATAGATTCAGGGGTCACATATGTTATTATTTTACAGATGAGGAAATTGCAACTCAAGAGGGTTAAGTGCCTAGGGCCATTCGTTAAAGTTAGATCTTTCTTGACCTGAAGTTCAACATTCTTTCCATTATATCTTCCTGCCAATCAATTAAGAAGTATTTATTAAGCACCTACTATGTATTGGGCACCGTGCAGGATGTTAGGAATGCAAGTGCAAAGAATGGAACTATCCCAACTTGTAATGAGCTCCCATTCTCCCCTAGCAACTAGCTCTTCCCTGAGCTCATCCCTAGGAAGAGCCAGAACCATTTTCCCCTGATTCCCAAGAGACATTCCCCATGAGGCCATCACAGGTCTGGGCACCAGAAACAAGAAGTCCAAGGGGCAGGAGAGGTTGGATAGAGCCATAACTTACCTTGAACAATGGGGACTGAGTTTCCCAGGAGGGGAAGGGTCAAAAGCAGCAGGCAAAACATCTGGAGAGAGAGAAAGGGGAGAAGACTCAAGTCAACAGTACTTGGGCCCTGGGTTCCAGGATCTGGGATGGACCCTCCAATGCAGAATCTCTGCACAAAGGGGCTGAAACCCAGGCTCTTTTGGCCTGATTGCCAAGGTCTGGGAGGGGAGCAGGATCCTTACCATGACCAGGTTCTCCAGCTCAGTCTTCTTTTCAGTCAGTACCCGATTTAAATACACAAGACCAGTAGTGGGAAATAGAGGAGAGCCCAAGGAACACTCAGCCCTCCTCCACAGGCGCTGGGACGCCTGCTGAGAGGTCAGGTTACTGCCCAATTGGATTCCTGTATTTCATTTTCTCCTATTCTATCCCCATCCCCCTTCTTCTCCTATGACCCTCACCCCAATTTCCCTGTCTGCTTCAAAGTCCCAGCTTCTGGGATAGACTGGGACTAGGCCAAAGGTGTTTAAGGAATCCTATATTTGTCCTGCTCAGATCTCATCTAGCACCTTGTTTTGCATTCATCTATATAATTTTGTGTAACATAATTAAGCATGAAAGCTATAGCATAGTGGCCTTAAAATCAATAAGACCGATGTTCAAAATCTGCCTTTGGCAAATACTCACCGTGTGACCCTAGGCATGCCTGGGTAATTCCTCAGTGCAGTGCTCCAGGGAACTTTCCAAGAATACAAATTGTAGAACACGATCCAATCTGTACTGGTGGATGGACTTGGCATACTTGGAGTTCTATCCTGTGGATGAAATCAGAGATTCAGTCTTCCTCCTCCCCAAAAGATATAGACATATGTTTGTGTGTTAGCCCCTTACTTATACCATGAGCTCCATGAGGGCAAGGACCCTGTCTTATTTAAACATTTCATATTCCCTAGTGTCCAGCACAATGCTCTGCCCGTAGCAGGTACTTAATAAGGACTGAATGAGTGACTGATGAATAAGGTTATAAGATCACAGGATTTCAGAATTTAGTAAAGACCTTAGAAGTCATCTAGTCCATTGTCCTCATTTTATAGCTAGGAGAATTAGAGCCCAGAGAGGGCAGGGTATTTGCCCATGATCACACAACGTGGTCATCCAGCATTTGAACCCAAGGGTTCTTGGTTCTCTATGCACTCTGTCTACTAAACCATACTGCCTCCTTAACTAATCCTGTCACTTTATAGGGCAGAAAATGGAGACCTAGAGGGTTTAATAGACCTATCAAATGTCGTATAATGAATGAATGAAATTACCCATAGAATTTCTAGCAGATCTATCTCACTCTCCCAGGACTATCCTGACCCATCATGATTCTCATCGATTCTATAATGGTCCTTAAAGGAAAATGGCCATGTACCCTAGCACTTAAGCACTACTACATACTAAGCACTTGATGCTTTTTCATTCATTCTTTCGTACATGTGTGAATTCCTTATTGGTTTCCGGCTTTGTGTACTCCATGTATATATGGAATTTTTACCTGTCACTTATTTTGCCACACAATTTGACTAAATGTCTTCCACTTTGGATTAATAGGTCCATTAGCTTTGTAAAAGCACATACATTAGTGGAGACTCCAGACCCAAAGTTTTGTGTGGACTCAAAGTCCAAAGGTGTGCTGGAGCCAGCTCAGACCAGCTAGCTATAGGCTACAGAACTAATCACTAAATTTTCATTACAAGCATTTACACGTCAAAAACTGGCAAATACTATAAATCAGGGCTTGATCTATTGATTTGTGGATTGTCTAGACTTAAGAAAATGATGGAGAAAATGTTAATAATGAAATTTTAAATTAAAGGTGTGTTATGTACACCTTTTTTGAAGAGCTGGTTAATAAACATTAACCAGCACACCCCTGATGCTGACCCACAAAGTTCCTGAAATTTGTAGGACCTACGTGGAAGGGGGCACTGGTGCTGTTGCACAGGTATTATTATCTTCAATTTGCAAGTAAGGAAAATATTCATCTCAAAGGTCACAAAGGGAAATCCTGTCATCCCAGTCTTTGAAAGACTATCACCTTGTGGAATGACATCTCTTTCTGCTGTTTCAATCCAATCCTAGCAGACCCTAGACCCTACAAAACTCTTCCAGGACTTCTATTCTCTATCTCTGTCTGACTCTGTCTCTGTATTCAAAGTTTCATTTCCACATACAGCAGGGATGCTTAATTTTTTCTGTGGCATGGACCCCTTTGGTATATATATTCGGTTTATCAACTCTCATTTCAGAACAATATTTTTAAATGCATAAAATAAAATACAGAGGATTACATTGAAATATAGTCTGTAGTATTTTATAGAGTTAGAAAAAATAATAACAAGATTCATTTGGAAAAACAAAAGGTCCAGAATATCAAAGGAACTAATGAAAAGAAATGCAGGGGAAGGTGGCCTAGCCATTCCAGATCTTAAATTGTATTATAAAGCAGCAATCATCAAAACTGCTTGGTACTGGCTAAGAAATAGAGAGGGATCAGTGGAATAGGTTAAATATGCAAGACACAGTAGTCAATGACTATAGTAATCTATTATTTGATAAACCCAAAGACCCCTGCTTCTGGGATAAGAACCCACTCTTTGAAAAAAACTGCTGGGAAAACTGGAAAAGAGTATGGCAAGAAACTAGGCATAGACCCAAATCTCATACCATATACCAAAATAAAGTCAAAATGGGTTCATGACTTAGATATAAAGGCTGATACCATAAGTAAACTGGGAGAACAAGGAATAGTTTAACTATCAGATCTATGGAGAACAGAAGAATTCATGACCAAACAGGAGATAGAGAACATTATGAAAAGCAAAATGGATAATTTTGATTACATTAAATTGAAAAGTTTTTGCACAAACAAAGCCAATGCAACTAAGATTAGAAGGAAGGTAGAAAATTGGGAAAGAATTTTTACAACCAGTCTCTCTGATAAAGGCCTCATTTCTAAAATATATAGAGAATTAAGACAAATTTATAAGAACACAAGCCATTCCCCAATTGATAAATGGTCAAAGGATATGAACAGACAGTTCTCAGATGAAGAAATTAAAGCCATCTATAGTCATATGAAAAAATGCTCTAAATCATTATTGATTAGAGAAATGCAAATCAAAACAACTCTGAGGTACCACATCACACCTATCAGATTGGCCAACATGACAAAACAGGAAAATGATAAATGTTGGAGGATGTGGGAAAATTGGAACGCTAATACATTGTTGGTGGAGTTGTGAAATGATCCAACCATTTTGGAGAACAATTTGGAACTATGCCCAAAGGGCTACAAAAATGTGCATACCCTTTGATCCAGCAATAGCACTTCTAGGGCTATATCCCAAAGAGATCAGACAAATGGGAAAAGGACCCACATGTACAAAAATATACATAGCAGCTCTTTTTGTGGTGGCAAAGAATTGGAAATTGAGAGGATGCCCATCAATTGGGGAATGGCTGAGCAAGTTGTGGTATATGAATGTAATGGAATACTATTGTGCTATAAGAAATGATGAACAGGCTGACTTCAGAAAAACCTGGAAAGACTTATATGGTCTGATGCTGAGTGAAGTGAGCAGAACCAAGAGGACTTTGAACACAATAACAGCCATGTTATACAATGACTAAGATTGTTAAACTGAACCCATCTCAGCATTACGAGGATCAAAGACATCTCCAGAGGCCTCAGGATGGAAAATGCTGTCCACATCCAAAGAAAGAACTATGGAAGTCGAATCGCTATCACTTATTTTTACCTTCTGTTGAGTTTTGTTTCATCTTTCTGATGGTTCCTCCTATTGGTTTTAATTTTTACTTACAACTTCACTAATGTGAAAATATGTTTAATGGGTATGTAAATGTAAAGCCTATATCAGATTGTGAGCCGTCTTGGGGAGGGTGGGGGGGAGGAAAAGGGAGAAAAATTTTCAACTCAAAAGCATATTGGAAAAAATTAAAAAATTTAAAAAATTTAAAAAAAGAAATATAGTCTGTAGGCATAAAGAATGCTATTATGTACAATATAGCTATGGGTCTGATAACTACAATAATTTCAAAGTAGTGATGAATATAAACAATATTTCCATATATCTCCAAAAACTATAATGTGATATGAAAATATTTATGATTTCTGGTGGTGACAAAGTCACATACAGTGCTAATACTACTGTGGTTTGTTGCCTATGTTCATAATTGAAGGAAATGACAAATGTAAATTAGAGGTTAGTGACAAGTAATTTTCCCATTCGAATTTATGGACCCCTTGAAATCAATCCATAGATCCCTTGGGCAGTCTGTTGGACCCATGTTAAGAAGTAGGGGAAGAAGGGGAAAAGCTCCCTCTCCAGAATGCCAAGTAGATACTTCAATACAAACCTACGTGCACCCAACCCCCACCCTCAACAACCCACAATGCTTGAAAGTCAAGCTTTGTTCATTTGTGATAATATGTTGCGCCCAAGACACTCCATCTCTCTCCTGACTCCATGTATTTTCACTGGCTGCCACCACCCCAACCCCAATACTTGTAAAGCTCTCTCTCTCTTCATTTTTGCCTCCTGGCTTCCCTAGATTCCTCCAAACCTCAGCTAAAATCTCACCCGCAAGAACCCTTTCCCAATCTCCCATAATGCTAGTGCTTTCCCTCTGAGACAACTTCTAACTTATTCGGGATACTTCTTGCTCGTACTTAGCTGTTTGCCTGTTGTCTTCCCCATTAGATCACGAGCTCCTTGAGAATAGGGATTGTTTTTGTTTTTCTGTATATCCTCAGGCCTTAGTATAGTGTCTGGCAAATAGTAATATTTGAGGATTGGAGGGAAGCCAGGAGTTAAGAAGTCCTGATGGCATTCTGGGAGAGGAGAAGAGTGAGAGAAGAGGAGAGCAGAAGAGAGAAGTGGAGGAGAGAGAAAAGAGAGGAGACAAAGAGAGAGGAGAGGAGGATAAAGGACAGGAGAGGAGATAAGAGAAGAGGAGAAAAGTGGAGAAGAGAATAGAAAAGAAAAAAGAAGGGGAGAGGAGGAGAAAGAAGAGGAGAAAAGAGAATAAGAGAGGAGATGACAGGAGGTGAGAGAAGAGGAGAAAATGGAGATGAAAACAGAAAAGAGGAAAGGAGAGGACAGGACAGAGAGGAGGAGAGAGAAGGAGAGAGGAGTAATGGAGAGGAAAGGAGAAGAGAGGAGAGGAGGAGAGAAGAGGGAATGAGAGAGGAGAAGAGAGGTAAGGAAAAGAGAGGAGAGGAGGAATGGGGAGGTTGAAAATCATAAACACTTGTTGATTTTGATGACTCTTCTACATAAACCCCACTCTGAGCATCTATCTGTCTGCCTTTTTACCCATTTTAGTCTATCTGCCTTTCTGCCACTGCTGATCTACTCTTCTATCTGCTTGGATCGCAGCAGCTCCCAGCTCATCCTGGGAACTTTTAGCTGTTCAGCCCCTGCCTCCAGACTGGAAGCTGCACCACAGAAAAAGCAACTTGTAGGTACTGTTTGTTGGGCCTGCAAAGAGGACACCTGGAATCATAGACTTAGTGCCATAAGGACTCATGGCGTCATAGACATTGAGCTAGAAGGGACCTCAAAGCCCAAGTTACAGCCCCCTCACTTTATATATGAGGACACTGAAGCCAAAAGAGGTTAAGTAACTTACCCAAGATCACACAGATAGTGAGTGAAAGAACAAGGATTCAAATTTAGGTCCTCTGGCTCCAAATCATAGATTGTAGAGCTGGAAGGGACACGAGAGGTCCATGGCTCTTTCCGCTGTGCCAAGCTGCTTCCCTTAGCTGATTTCCAAATGAGAATCCAGCTGGAGTCTGCCAGAATGATACCCAAGCATGGAAGGAATAGGTCCCTTTAAAGTAATCCTGATCATGGCATAGATGTCCAGCATGGATCCTGCAGCTGGCTCATGTGGAAGGGCAAGGGTAGACTCATTTGGGAAGGATGGATGAGATATCATAGCCCAGCAACTGACTCTAAGCTTGGGGAGGCGACACCAGGGTCTTACAAGGGCTATCAGAGACCCACAGCAAGCAAGGGGTCCCTGACATCTGTCACTACTTGCCTGGGCACTAGGGTCAATGTTGGAGCACATTTCTGCCTTATGGAAGTGGGTAGCCAAATGTCACTATTAGGTAAACCGTAGTAGGTCTATTGCCACCAAAATCAAATATAACATCCTCTATTTGACTTCTAAAGCTCTTCATGACCCCAGCCCTTCCTGCCTTTCCAATCTTTTTACACCTTATTTCCCTCCCCTTATTCTATGTTTCTGTGACACTGGTGTCCTTAATGTTCCTTTTTTTCCCCTCCCTCCCCACCCTGCACTAGAGAAGGCAGCCATTTCACTACCCTTGATGTTTCATTGGAGTTTATTGAATGTGGATAAAGGAGGCCAGGAGAAGGTGACACGGGTAGACCTATACTTTAGGAAGAATTTCACAGGTAAGTGGAGGGTGGACTGGCATGAAGGATGATTTTAGTCTGAGAGACCAACCAAAAGCCTATTGCAATAGTCCAGGCATAAAGCTGGTGGATCACTGGGCCAGGGTGGTAGCAGTGGCAGAGGAGGAAAGGAGAAATAGACAAGAGAGACAGGAGCTCCAAACTTATTATAATGTATACTGTCTTTCCTGCTTATATTAACTTCAATTTTGCTTCAGGTGAAATGTTTCCACTTCTGGATTACCCAGTGTTAAACAGAAGCCTAGGTGACATACACCTTTATTTCTTTTATTTTTTTTTTTGGTGAAATTTATTTTTTTTTCAAATTTAAATTTTTATTTTTTCCATATGCTTTTGAGTTGAAAATTTTTCTCCCTTTTCCTCCCCCCCACCCTCCCCAAGATGGCACACAATCTGATATAGGCTTTACATTTACATACCCATTAAACATATTTTCACATTAGTGAAGTTGTAAGTAAAAATTAAAACCAATAGGAGGAACCATCAGAAAGATGAAACAAAACTCAGCAGAAGGTAAAAATAAGTGATAGCGATTCGACTTCCATAGTTCTTTCTTTGGATTACACCTTTATTTCTTTAGCCACATAGGAGAGGACACAGCAGACCAGACTTCCTAGTTCCTGATAGCTTCTGCCTGAGATTCTCTGATGCAATCTTTCCAGGTCCTGTATCTCTATATCAACCTCTCTGCTCTTCTCCTCTCCTCTTCTCTCCTCTCCTCTTTACTCTTCCTTTCTGCTCCTCTCATCTCTCTTCTCTTTTTCTCTCCTCTCCTCTCCCTTTCTCTCCTTTCCTGTCTTCTCTCCTCTCTCCTCTTCTCCTTTTCTCTCTCCTCTCCTCTCTCCACTCCACTCCTCCTCGCATTTCATCTCCTCTCTCTTCTCCTCTCCTCTGCTCTCTACTTCTCTCCTCTCCTCTTCTCTCCCTCTCTGCTTCTCTCCTTTCCTGTCTTCTCTCCTTTCTCCTTTTCTCCTTTTCTCTCTCCTTCTCTCCTTTCTCCACTCCACTCCTCCTCACATTTCATCTCCTCTCTCTTCTCTCTTTTTCTCTCCTCTGCTCTCCTCTTCTCTCTGCTTCTCTCCTCTCCTGTCTTATACTTTTGTTCTCTCTTCTCTTCTCTCTTCTTCTCCTTTTCTCTTTTCTTCTCTTTTCTTCTCTTCTCTCTTCTGTTCTCTTCTCCTTTCCACTCTAACTCTCCTCTTTTTTTCTCTCTTCTCCACTTCTCTCCTCTCCTCTCCTTATCTCTACTTCTCTCCCAAAATGCCAGCAAGGCATCTCAACTCCTGGCTTCCTTCCAACCCTCAGAACTTGCCAGAGTTAATAAGGAGGAAGTGGTTAGGAGTCTGTTCAGACACTCCTGGACCTTCCTTAATCCTCTTCCCTTCTCAATTACACATAAAACACAGTGGAAGCTGAATGCAGTCCCTTGATCCAGATTTAGACAAAGGCCATATCCTGTCTCAAGCCATACAGAAAATGAAAGTTGGAGCTGGGATGAGAACCCAGCTCTTCTAGCCCCCAGACTGGAGCTCTGCTTTAGAATAGAAGCATCCATGGGGCAGCTAGGTGATGCAGTGGATAGCACTTTGGCCCTGAAGTTAGGAGGACCTGAGTTCAAATCTGGCCTCAGACCAAACATTTGAGACTTACTAGCTGTGTGACCCTAGGCAAGTCACTTAACTCCAATTGCCTTAAAAAAAATAGAATAGAGGTATCCAGTGCCTGGTTTCCAGAGCATGGGTCAGCAGAAGCTTCTTTTCCCAATGGGCATTTTGGGACTCAGATGGATGATGTGAGAGGAATACAGATCAGTCCCAGACTATAACTTCCTATGACGTCTGGATTCAAATACAAATTTCTCTACTTAGCATTTAAAGCCAACACTGGGTTCACAACCTGGTTCTAACTTAACTTTCCATTCTTTTAAAACATTGCTCCCCTTCATTCACTCTTCAGTCTGGCCAAATTGGCCTTCTTGCTGCCCCTCACACACAGCCCTCCATTTCTGTGACTTTGCACAGATCCTTCCCCATGCCTACCATGCCCTCCCTCTCCACCTTTGCCTCTTAGAACTACTAGTTACCATCAAATTTCAATTCAAATGCCACCTCCTGCAAAAAATCGTTACTGTTCCCTCCCAACTACTGTATCTCACCCTCCAAAATGACCTTATATTTATTTTATAGATACTGTAAAAGCAAAAAAAAAAACCAACTTATTTTGAACATATTTATGTAGGATCATAGATTTAGAGACAATCTAATCTAAAAGTTCTTAATTTTTTTTGTCCCTCTGTCTAGTAAAGCCTATGGACTCCTCAGAATGCTTTGAAATACATAGGATTAAAAAGGAAACCAATTACACTGAAATAGTTATCCAAAAAAAATTTTTAAGTTCACAGGCCCCAGGTTTAGAACCCCTGACCTAATCCAACACTTCCTTTTTACAAAGGAAGAAACTGAGACTGATGTGAGTTTAACTAAGTTGCCCAAGCTCACAGAAGTAATAAGCAAGCAGCAGAGGTGAGATTTGAACCCAGATTCTCTGATATTAAAGCCAATTCTTTTTCAAGGGCACCATGCTACCTCCCTTGTGGTTTACCCTGTAAAATGGAAATTTTCAGGGTAGGGGCTGTTCCATGTATGTGTTTGTATCCCCCAGGGCAGGGGTGGGGAACCTATGGCCTCCTAGTTCCTAAGTGCGGCCCTTTGAATGAATCCAAACTTCATAGAATTCCCCTTAATAAAAGGATTTGTTCTGCAAAACTTGGACTCAGTCAAAAGGCCACACCTGAGGACCTAGAGGGCCTCTTGGCTGCTGGTTCCCCACCCCTGCCCCAGGGCCTGTCATAGCATCCAGTAGGCATGCAATTAAAAAATTTTTTGATTGATACGAATGAAGTAACAGAGCATGCTGGGGTGAGAGGAAGAAGGCAGAAGGAATGCTGAAAGGAGGGGACAGGAAAGGACACGAGGGTGGGTCAAGTGAGGCTGGTGGTGGGGTAGGACAGCATGTTAGCCTCCTATGGCCTCCCAGAGGCACAATCTGATTGGATCGGTCTGTTCGCAGGGGTGCATAGGTGGGATAACTTGGGGGTAGTGACTGGCTTATGGCTGTGGACAGAATCCTAGGGCTGGGTGAAGGGGACAGGGAATCTTCACTATGCCTCAATCCCGCCCCTCTTCTGGAGTCCTTGGGTCTTCTTGCCCATTGTTCTATTTGGGCAAAAGGTAGGAGTGTGCTAGTAAATATTTAACAACCAGCTTCTGGGGAAAAAAAAAGTATGGACAACACATTTTTAAAGTTTAATCTGCATAATTAACACTTTCTGAAGTCTAGACAATCCACACAACAATGAATCATGCCCTGGTTTGTAGCATTTGCTGATTTCCAAGAAGTGAATGCTCATACTGAAAATGCTAATGAGCCGGTTAAAGCTGGCACTTGCCCCTTCCCGGCTGGGAGTGACTTAGCTTTGGCACAAGCCTAGGCCCACTCCTTTGATCACAACCATTAGGGAGATAAGGGCAAAATGGCTGTGACTTTGATGACATGCAAGAAACACTGCAGAATCCACCTTGGCTTTGAGCCTACAAGCAAAATCTAGAACAAAAAAAATGGGGCCAATTCAATTCTATAAACTTCCATTAAGCATTCCCTATATGCAGAGAATTACTGAACTGAGAAAGGAACAAGGATTGGAGTTTAGATAAAGCGCTGTTCTTGCCCTCAGGGAGTTTCCAGTCTAATAGGAGTCTTGATCCTCAGCCGCCTATTCTCCCCAGAACTCCCAGTCAAGGAAGGCTCTCTTTCTTCAGACCCTCTCACGATGACCTAGGAATTCAACACGCCTCAACCCTGGGCCAAACTTCTAGTCCCCCTGGGAACTGCGACCCTTCCTCTTTTGATCTCATTTGTTCAATCAAGGAAGAAGAGGTGGCTGCTTCCAACAATGACAGAGCTAAAGTAGGAGGGGGAAGTCAAGGTGCCAAGGGAACCAAATGATTTTAACTGAGCTATCAGTGAGAGTACAGACTAGGGCCTGAGAGTTCTAGCAAGACTCACTCATGGACATACTCATGTGGAGAGGACTTTTCCCCAGACAGGTAAAGGGAGTAGAAGAACGGGAAGTTCTGTGAGGGGGAGGCCAGTGGAGGCTGGTGGGGAGCCAAAGAAGCAAGCTAGATCCTCATGGCCTTCCAAAGGCTTGGTCTGGCTTGATCCTAATGACTTACAACATGGGGTCTTTCTATAAGAGGTGGGACCTTCCATTCCCAGCCAGTAGCTTGCAACTGATCTTCCCCTGCCTCTCCTCTAGAAACTCTGAAGAATCTATGTGAGTTGGGGAAGGGGGAGGACTTTGGAGACAAGAGCTACAGGGTTCTGTTCAGGGTTGCTGGTAGCAACAAAACTTGGGTGCCCTTTCTGCAGCCCTGCTCCTTTCAAAGTACTGTAGCACCAAGAGAGAACCCAGGGCAATAGGGGCTTCTCATACCCGTTACATTTGGGTGGCAGGTTGGGAGAGGGAGGAAGAGTTAGGATCTTTGGTGTGGTGGTTTGGAAGTCACAGGATAAAATCCATTAAACCCACTGCTTCAGAGGAGGACCCATAGTAGATCCTGGCTCACTCATCTCTGATTCCTCTCCCCCTCCAGATGCTACTGTCTTTACTGTTCTGGGGTCTTCTCCTCTTTGGGGAAAAAGGTAATTATGACTCCAATCAGTTAGGTTAACTCTCAAGGTCTAAGTCCTTGTGCTGAAGGGATATAGATATTGCTCTTCAATTTATAGGAGTAGGCTTCACATCTGGAGCCCAGATGTCCTGCCTCATACATTCTCATCTCACCTAACCCTGCCTCCAATCCCCTAAACACCTGTTCATCTAGGCTCCAGTCCCAACCCCTAGGAACTATCCCTAAACCCTGGGATTTTTCCCAGGACCATGGGCAGTGTTGAGGGGGAAGGGGAGTGGAAGGGGAAAGGTAGACCCATAGGGAGTCCAGAATCCAGAAGAGAGTGGATTAAGAAAAGGAAAAAAGTGTTTAGGCAGACCTGTCCTGTGTCAGTCTTCGCTGGGGGAGGGAGAAGAATGGGAGGAGGAGGAGAAATCAAATCACTCTCATTGTTTCCTGGTTTTATGCTTTTCTAAGCATGTTGGACTTCCAAATCAGAAGACTGGGTTCCAGTTTTGCCACCAACTAGCTGTGTGACCCTGAACACATTCATTCCTCTCACTGGGGCTCAGTTTCCTGAGTACAATAAGGGGATTAGAACAGATGCTAGCCTTAACATCCTGTGTTTTACATCCACTGTCTCATTTCTGAAGTGGGCAAGACAATGATTTTATTTGACAGATTAAAAAATGAGTTACAGAATATGGACATGACTTATCAAAGGGTATATCATGAATCAGGAACCCAGGGTTCCTGATTCCAAGCCTTGTGGTGGGTCCTCTTCAAAGGAAAGGATAGACAGGATGATAGAGAGGGATCAGGGGGAGTGGGGTGGCCTCATGGGCTGCTCTTACAGCTGATAATGTTTGTTGGCAGCAAACGGCATGTCCCCAGAGCCTCGCATAGCGGGGGGCTGGGCTGCCCAGAGGGCCCAGTGGCCATGGCAGGTGAGCGTCCAGGAGCAAGGCCAGCACGTGTGTGGTGGCTCCCTCATTGGCCACCAGTGGGTACTGACTGCTGCCCATTGTGTGTCCAGGTGAGTTGCCCCTTTCCCAGGCAGAGTGGGCAGGGCAAGGGAGGAGAGGGACATGAGCTGCTGGTCCCTAGCAGGAACTGTTCCTACCTAGATAAAGGTATCACTGAATAGGAGGGATGGGAATGACATTATAGAATGATAAAATGTCGGGACTGAGAGGGATGTTAGGGAGCATCAGATCCAACCGTCTCATTTACATTTACCCCTCATTTGAGGGCCACGGATCGGGGACTTGTTCCAGATCACACATACCTATAAGTATTCCATTCCATCTTTTCTTGTCTTCAAACAAAAAAAGGGCAAATTCTGTTCCCCATTATAGACATGCACAATTCCTACTAGAGTTACCAGGAGCCAGGCACAGTGAGGATCAGAGCTTAGCCATCCAACACTCTCATTTATAGAAAAGGGAGCTGAGAACTGGAAAAGTGAAGGGACCCGTCCAAGGTCATACAAGTAGTCAGTATCACAGCAGGAATTTGAAACTGGATCATCTGGCCCCCAGTTCAGTATTCTTCACCTTGTGCTGACAAGCACAGCAGAACTTACATATCCAAGCGAGCATTGTTCCTTTGGGCTACTGACTGAATGTGGTTCTGGGTCCGACTAGATGGAGTCCCGGCCCGGGAGTCAGGTTATCTGCACTCTTGTCCTGGCTTTGCCAGTGACCCTCTGTGTGACCCCTGAGCACGTTATTGTCCTATCTGGGTCTCAGTCTCCCCATCTGTAAAGTGAATGGGTGGGATTTGGTGATATCTTTGGGGCCCTCTAGCCCTGAGATTCTCTGAGTCTTCTCCTTGAAAATGCCCTGAGTGAGCAGCTTTGTGGGAATCCACCTGCAGCCTCCCACAGTGACCACTGGCGAGAGGTCATGCCTCCTTTAGGAGGACAAGTTTATGATCTGTTTGTTATCCATCACCATCATAATTTTAATCACTTACATTGACAAGGGCATTGGAAGGCACTCAAAGCTCTTTCCTCAGCCACCTGCAAGGTAGCTGACCTAAGTGTTACCTATCCCCATTTTACGAGTTACAGGAAACTGAAGCTCATAGAGGGCAGGGGACTTGCAGAAGGTCATATAACAAATAAATATCAGGTCTTGTGACTGCAGACGTGTGCTTTTTTTTGGCCTACTGACTATTTCCTGACTTTGTTACTCTCCTCCGACAGCTCTCTGAAATCCCAGGACCTGCAGATCCAACTGGGGGAGCAGTTCCTCTACACTAAGACCCGCTATTCCACCTTAGTCCCTGTGAGTCAGATACTACTGCACCCTCATTATGATGGGGATGCCCTTCATGGAAAAGACATTGCATTGTTGAAGATCAGACAACCTGTGCCCTTCTCCAAATTCATCCAGCGAATCACCCTGGCCCCACCTGGGACTCAGTGCTGGGTGACCGGCTGGGGGAATATCAGGGAAAATGGTGAGACAGAAGAAGGTAGGGGCTGTGGTTGGAGGGATCCATTCAAACCCTTAGACACAGCACAGGACTCCCCCTGCCCTGACCCCCCACATACACTTCCACATAAGATGTGATATGAGCAGCAGCAGGAAAGGCCTCCTTGGATTCCCCAAAGGAAGACCTCTTCCTCCTAGACCTAGCATAGTGATTACAACTCCATCATTAGCTTCAATACTTTGGGTTAAGATCATCTATTTAAGTATAATCTCCCTGGAAGAAGGACTTGGTATAACAGTAGCAATCTTCAGTACCCTAGTATGAGTTCATTGGTCCCCTAGAAACAACAGAGAGAAAAGGTGAAGGATAATTATGAAACTCAGGCACTCTGAAATCAAGACCTGAGAGAGAAATAAAACATAGGGAAGCAGAAGGTCATCCTCACAGCTTCTGAGCTGGCTCTGTGCCCCTGCTCCAGCATGAGCTCCATCGTGCCAGCTACCCCGAATGCTGGTCATGGAGGACCTTTGCATCGTGAGCCCACGCACCACATCTCCTGCCCTTGCCCACAGTGCCCCTGCCTCAGTCCTATGCACTGCAAGAGACAGACGTGTACATTGTGGACACACAGATGTGCCGAGTCCTCTATGATCCAGAGCCCATTGGGAACGAGATGCTGTGTGCTGGCTATCCGGGGGAGCGTAAGACCTTCTGCAGTGTGAGTCACCCCAAATACCTCTTCACCAGAAAGCTTAGCTCTCATCTTAGTCTACTTACAATGGACCCAGGGGTACTAGGCTGTTACGGCGTTTCCAGCTCCCTGAGGTCTGGGAACAGAGAGACCATCTCTAGGGGGCCCCTGGAGTCCATAGGACCACAGACCACAGAATCTGAATGGAATTTCAAGGTCACCTAGTCCAATCCCTCATTTTTCTGATGGGCTGTGACAGTAAGACTGAGGCTAAGAGAGGGGAAAGGATGCATCCAAGGTCACACAATAACTCAGTGGCTCCAGACAGACTCACACACAGGTCTTTTTATTCCTAGTCCAGAGGTCTAGTCACTTCACCACAGTGCCTCTAACCTTATAATTAATGATGATTAATTAATATCTGCCTAATCTCATTCAAGCCTGTTGTAATACCTCCACTTATATGATGCTTTAACATTTATAGGGTACCTTCCTCACAACTGTCCTGTGAAGCTGATAGAAAGTCTATACCATTTTGCAGATGAGAAAACCTATGCATATACCCCTTCCCTAGCATTGTGGGTAGATGGGTTTGGAAATCAGGAGATGCGAGCTCTAATCCAGATTCTGCCACTAATTTACTGTGGGATTAAGAAAAACAGGATCCCAGTTGAAGAAGGAGAACCAGATAGACTGCAGACCCACTTGGCATTTGGGCTAACTTTATCTTGCCTAACTTGATCTCTCCTCATTGACCCCTAGAGCTTTTAGAGTGGGGTACAATCTCCTCTCCCTGCTATTACACTAGTCCTGGTCTAGATATCCCCTCCTTCTCCTTAGCTCATCTGATGATAGAGAATAAGAATGTCTTTTTTTAATTATTTTAATTAGCACTTAAGGGAAATAAGATAAATCCACATTTATCCATTGTCAGGGAAGCCAGGACAGCTGAACTGTGGAAGGAGGAAGGCTGCAGCTGCTACTAATAATCTTTTGCCCACCCTGAGACTACATGCAGAAGCAGATAAGAAAAAGGAAAGACCAGTCTTTAGGCTGGTGTTTCTAAACTGGTATTATATCACAGCTATTAAAATGACTGCATGGGAAGATGGGAGTGTGAGGTATGAGGATCTCGAGTCCTTTTTTTATTCTCTTGGATCCTGGCTGCCAGAGACTCCAAACACTGAAATGAAGCATAGAATTGATGAATTATAGAACACATGGATCTTACTCTAATAGATCTCTTATCTGTCCAAAATCACTGGGACAGCTTTCTGGGATAGAATCCCTCCCATTTAGCTCCCATCTAACCCAATCCCTTCCACACAAACAAACACCTTCTTGACCCGAATGAAAATCAATGCCTATCCTTCTAGCTATACCTGCCACCCAACTCCTGGTTCTGCTCCCACAGAAAGCTACTGCCTTCCTGGTCCCTCTCACCAGGGTCTGCCTTCTAAGGATTAGAAGTCTCACACATTTTTCAAGACCCTATTCACTTCTGGGAAACATTCCTTATATTTCTTTCCCAGGAGAACTATTCACTGTGGTCCTCACAAGCTTACAATAGCCTATGCACATGCCAAACCAGTCCTACTCTCTTATGCAGTGGGACCCAAATACAATTCTTACAATACTAAGGAAAGTGCCTTCTCTTCAGGGTGACAGCAGGAAGCCCATTCCTCTGTCTGAGCCTTGTTTCCTTCTATACAATTATCTCTTCCCTGTCCATATCAGAAAGGGGTTTGAAGCAGGGTTTTGCAAACTGTGAAACGCTGTTCCTGTCTTCTTCCTTCTCCTAGGGTGACTCTGGAGGCCCTCTTGTCTGTCAACTTAGAAACAGGAGATGGGTCCAGGTGGGTGTGGTGAGCTTCATCAGAAGCTGTGCTGAACCACTACTTCCAGGTGTATACTCCAAGGTTTCCTCCTATGTCCCCTGGATCCGTCAGTATGTACCTCAGCCCTGAGATTCAGTGTGACTTCCACCTGAGCCCTGGTGACCTCAGAATCAAGACACGGTTTTCCAGTTGCTGGTCTTCCTGAGAACAGGATGAAGCAGGAGAAAGGAAAAGGGACAGGGCAAATGGACTATTGATGGGGCGGGTAAGGAGGGGCCCACTGTCTTCTACAAAGTGATTAAACTGTCTACAAAGAAACCTCCTTCTCGGTCAGCTCAATCAGCCATCTCCAGCCAGGTATTTCCTTAATGCTCCCAATGGTGACTTTGAGCCTTATTCAAATGGAAACGCCAGAACTAGTCACCCTTAGACTCCTTCCTCAAATCCCCTGCCTGGGGGATTAGAGTGTCAGGATGGGAAGAGCAAGAGGGCAGAAACAAGTAGGCATGGAAGGTAGACAAGTAGGTTGGACATATTCTTTCAACAAGTCCTCCCTTAATCCTTCCTTTGTGCCTAGCCTTGTGTTTTGCTACTGAAAGAGAACTAACTTCTTCACTGGGCTTTCTTCCTTGATAGTAGATACAGGAAGACCCTCAGAATCACGTTGTCAGACTGGAGGCTGAGAGACAGCTAGGCAGCATAGTAGATAGAACACAATTTGTGGAAATGGGAGGACTTGAATTCAAATCTCACCTCAGACAATTACGTTCTGTGTGATCCAGGGCACAGGGCAGATAGGTGGCACAATGAATACAGTGCCAGTCCTGAAGTCAGAAAGACTCATCTTCCTGAGTTCAAATCTGGCCTCAGACACTTACTAGCTGTGTGACACCCAGACAAATCACTTAACCCTGTTTGCCTCAGTTTCATCACCTATAAAATGAGCTAGAGAAGGAAATGACAAATTACTCCACTGTCTTTATTTTTTTTTATTTTTAGGCAATTGGGGTTAAGTGACTTGCCCAGGGTCACAGAGCTAGTAAGTGTCAAGTGTTTGGTCTGAGGCCAGATTTGAACTCAGGTCCTCCTGACTTCAGGGCCGGTGCTCTGGCCACTTGCTCCAGTATCTTTACCAAGAAAATCCCCGATGGAGTCATAAGGAGTCAGACATGACCGAAATGACTGAATAACAACAAACAACAACAATGACCCCGATCAAGTTATTTAACAGCTCTGTGCCTCAGTTTCCTCATCTGTAAAATCTGGCTGAACATGATGGTCTTTAAGGTCCCTTCCAGCTCCAAATCTATCTATGCACAAGGCTAGTTCTCATCCACCCCCACCGAACCTTGCCTTCTAAGAAACAAGGACCCAATGCCTCTCCTCTGTGCCAATGCCAAGGGCTTTGATCCAACGGAAGTTGCACAAATTAACACAAAAGGTCAGTCCAGGGAGGCATCCTGGATGTTAGAATGGTATCTGGAGGTGTCCCAGAACAAGCATCACACAGAAAGCCTCCACTTGGAACATACACTTCCTGGCATGCTGAGGAAACAGCTGTGATCAGATTTCTAGCATAAGCCAGACCCTTTCCTGTTGCTAGTGGAACAGTCTAATCCCACAAAGGGCTGAGTCTTTACCTGGTCCCTAAACGATGGGGAAGAATTGATTAAAGCAGGGACTATGATACGGATAGTCCACTTGGGGAAATAACCTCGTGAGTACAAGGGATTGTCAGGAGACTAGTTAGTCTGAAGGAGAGGATATAGGTGCAGAAAAGAAAGGGAAGGGGACATTAGGGCACAGTCTAGGGCTAGAATACAACCTAGAATTCCAGTTAACTTGGGGAAGGGGTTTGGGATTAATTTTATCTGTGTCCTTAGGTTAGGCCTTTTGACTGAGTCTTACAGAACAAATCCTTTTATTAAGGGGATTTGTTCTGTGAAGTGTGGATTCAGTCAAAGGGCCACACCCTGAGGACCTAGAGGGCCATACGTGGCCTTGAGACCACCCTTGGGATAAAAGGCCGTTAAATTCATTCATTTATTCAACAAGTATTTATTAAGCACTTGCTCTGTGCTGGGCTCTATACTAAGAGACACATAGACAAAAATGAAAAAGTTCCTGCCTTCCAGGAGCTTACGTTCTATCACAGGTTGTTGTTGCTGCCTGTCCTTCGTTCTGGAAGAGGACCACAACACCAGGAAGGCAATGCCATGACTTGTAAGTGAATTGGATTGAAGTGAGGGAGGGCTGTGCAAAGTCACCAGCCTCACCTTCTCCTCCAGAGCCATCTGGTTCCAGTGGCGAGATACAGAAAGTAAGAAACTGAATTGCCTGGCTCCCAACTGCAGGCCCAAGAGGAGATGGATTGAGGCGTTGAGTCTACAAATCAGTTGAACAGGGCCATGGCTAGGAAAAGCCCATGGAGACAAATGCCAGATCACCAGTCACACCTGTTCCAGTGGGACGGGCAGAGTACTAGTGGAAAGCTGCAGACGGTTTCCCTGACTATGGGTCTCCTCGGTAATCCTTATGTGGATGTCATTCCTGGAATAAAGGCTCAGGGTACTTTATACAGGGTGGTGTTCCTCTTTCATGGCTACATGCTTCCAGACAGAATACTGGGGAAATCTCTCTCTGGAAAGAAGACTTATTTAGTTGCTACCAACCCCTAGTTTAGAAGGCCCTCTAACCCCAATGTATCAGAAGCAAGTTCAATTCAATTCAATTCAACAACAACACTAATTAAACATTTCCTGTGTACCAGGCCCTTTCTTTAGGTGCTAGGAAATACAAAGAGAAATAGGACAAAGACCCTACTCTAATGGAGTTTACAATCTAGAAAGGAGAAAAAGGCATTCTACACATAGCTACAATACAATACATCAGGAATGTACAAACATAATGGTAAGTTATGAAGTGTCATTTCCCCTGGCGGTAATCAAGGAAGGCTTCCTAGAGGAGGTATTATTTGAAGGAAAAAATTAGAAGGAAAAAGTAAAAATAGAAAGTCTATGTCTTCCAGCATTCCATAACCTCTCAAGAGGCCTCTGGTAGCAGTATTTTCTACTTATAATCATAGAATCTTAGAATTTCAAAATTGGAAGAGAACTGAGAGGTCATCTAGTCCAAGCCATATCTGACATCACTGATAAATGGCCATCCATTCTTGAAAACCCCCTATGCCAGAGAACTCACTACCTCGATGTCCTAGACTCAAGGGGCTAATTCCAAAGTTTGAAGAGATAATCATTCTCCCCTACCCATTCTCCCATGTTTAACACTAAATGTCTCTAATGAATAATTATATGATAAACTCTACTTCTACAATACTGAAAAATGAAAACAAAAGCCAATCTACAACCCACATATATTCCAATGTGTTTTACTGAAGTGTGTATTTCAGCTAGTGGATTAAAGATGGACAGCCAATGCAGGGAACATGAAAGCTGCCAGGATCCCCTCAGGTTACTTGCTTCCAGGTGAGGGGTACAATCCACTGGCCTGTTGAGTCCTCCGCCAACCACGCACTATGTAAGCATCAGCATCCATACAATTGTCACAGGGTGAATTTTTGCTTACACAGAGAAAAAGCTACACTTCTCCACAATTTACCAGTAAAAGATTATCTTCATGATTGACCTTGAATATTTGGGAGCGTTAATCGCCCAGGGTATGTGCAACTGAGCTAATGACAGTCTCTTGTGAATTCATGGTTTGTCTTTAAGGCAGCTCAGCTCTGGGATAAATTCAATAACTCCACTGACCCCAAGAACAGGTGGCTCTTATCTTAGGTGGAGGCCCAAGATAAGATTGGGCACTTTTTCAAAATTAGCCTAAGGATAACACACATTCAGCAACCTTAGGAGGCAGCTGCTATCTCAGTAAAGACAGGTTTAGTAACTGATAATTATTCTGAGAATGACCTTGGAAGAAACAGCTATTATCCCAGAGTAAGGGGAGTGAGAGAGCAGAACCTTCTGGGAAAAGTTACAAAAAAAAAAAAAAAAGAATATTGAATGCTTACTATGCAACAGTGGTTATACTTAAAGAAAACTTAAATGCAGGAAAAAAACAAAAATAAAAAAAATAGTTGTTGTAAATGTTTCTTTTGCTTAATGTAATGTAAATGTTTCTTCTACTTAAATAGAAGAGCTTCCCAAAATAGGGAAGGTGTTTCTCCAATGGCTCTTCTCCTTACGAATGTCTCCCTTTTGTTGACCAGAAATCTGGCTCCCTATAATTCTCCATCCTTTTGCCACATTAGCCTCAGTTCTTCCCTCTGGTACCACGTCAAACATGTTTAGTCACTTCTGACCTTTTAAATCCTTGAAGCTGCTATATAACTCTAATTATAAGTTGTAATAACTCTGTTAGGTTCCAGGCTAAACATCCTCAGCTGATCAAATGTGGAGCCCATTTACCCTCCTAGGCTTCCTTCTTTAGAAATGTTCCTTCTTGCCAGTGTTCAATGTCGCAGCCAGAATGGAACACAGTACTCTAAATATGGTCTTCACAAGAAGAGGACTATGGGATTATCACCTCCCTTATGCTGGAGAACTAGAGTTTTATAAGGAATACAGTTCCAGGCCTTAGGCCTCACCGAATCTTGCAGGTTTCCTGGGAATTTCAGCTCCATCTTAGGGTCAAAATATCTTGGCTCCAAGTATTTCTCTTTTAATAAATTTGTAAACAAGCAGGCAGTCAGGAAAGGAGGTAGAAAGATAGCCAGGGGGACAGAGACAAGATGGCGGAGTAAAAGCAGTGACTTGCTTGAGCTCTCCCGCAAACCCCTTCAAATACCTGTAAAAAATGGCTCTAAACAAATTCTAGAGCAGTAGAATCCACAAAAAGACAGAGTGAAACAAATTTCCAACCCCAGACAACCTGGATGGTTGATAGGAAAGGTCTATTGCTCTGGGCTGGGAGAGGAGCATAGTTCAGCATGGGCTAGGGCCAGAGGAAACCTGGAGCAGCCCTCAGAGGACTGAATCACAGGCAGCTGTGGTGGTTTCCAGACTTCTCAACCCACTTTAAAAGTCAGTGGGAAAGGCCTGTTGGACCTGGGTCAGAGAGGAGCGGGGTCCCGCCCTGGCGCTAGAGCAGCCCCAGGGTGGTGGCTACCG